GCCATGAGTGTGGTTGGTAGGGTACATGAAAATGGACAGCAATTTGAACATTTCACCTAAAATACCATGTGTGCTTGAGTGTGATATTGTTACGTTACAGAGTTACACGCTTATGATTTTGTAATAAAATATTTGGTATAGATTACCAGCTCATAAACAGGGGTGTTATTTGTGCTGGCCCCTGTATATGCCCATATGTGTATACATACACATGTACACACTCAGGCTTCTATAAACTCATTATAAATTTTACCTAGCTTTTAGATGAGTTTGGGCATGTTCAGGGTGGTATGGCCGTAGACTTACCTAGCTTATAAAAGGAAAATGTTTAGCTTAGTATGTAGTCTTAGATAGCAAAGCAACTTTACCAATTCCACTATTAGCACAGCAACACAATTTTGGCATAATGCACACTTAGATAAAACCGTAAAAATATAGTTATAAAGGCCCACCTTTCTCAGACTTAACCTTACAATTTTTTAAATTTAAAAATTCAAAAGCCAAGGCAAACACCCAAGTTCACCTCAATCATGCATTTGTTCACACCGAAAATATTATCTGCACATGTGCAAGGTACTTGGCTAGGCAATGCGGATAAAATGACACAATCTCTTCCTTCAAGAAGCCCACAGTCTCCCAAATGAAAGCATGAGGAAAGAGCAACACAGCGCAGTAAACGCTAACAATGGTCACCTGTGCTACTCCAAGGTGAGCATGAGCAACTACAGCGGCACCTCGGTAGTCATCGTTCATTTATTCTGATGAGTGATGAGCAAGTAATGATTGATGAAGCATGTTTTCTCTCAGCATAGTGTTGTGAGTCATACAAGTTCTAGCAGGTGTGAGTAGCAAGCGAGCACTGAGAGCTGAAACACTTTTTTCTCGTGAAAATGCTGTGAGTACTAGGTTTGACGAGTTCTGAAGCCAACGAATACTGAAGTACTATTGCTCAAGGAAAAGTTGGGATGAGGGGAGGTGTTACAAAGGCGGGGAGTGTAAACCCACTTCCTATTCCTCCACTGAAAGTCGTATCACCTATGAGTGCACTGTCCTTATATAAGAAGACTACTTCAGCCCTGTCCAGGTAGCTAGCTCAGTTAGAGTGTCAGCCTGATATACCAAGGTTGTGGGTTCGATCCTTGGTCAGACCACATACAACAATCAACCAATGAATGCATCAGTAAGTGGAACAACAAATGATTATGTTTCTCTTTCTCTCTCTCAATCCCTGTCTCTAAAAATCAGTAAGTAAATTTTTTAAAAACTGTACTTGTGACACAACTTAACAGCCGGAGCCCTGACTGGTTTTCCTCTCTCATGATAATCTGCTGGGAGATGGCACATACTTTAGAACTGACTGGTTAGGATTGGAGGTTCAGGCTTTGGCCAAGGTGAGATGGAAGGCAGGTAAGAAGTGAATCTGCAGGTGTGTTTTCCTTCAAGATATTACTTTTTTTACAGGGAGGGGAAGGGTGGGAGAAAGAGAGGGAGAGAAACATCAATGTGTGGTTGCCTCTCGTGTGCCCCATATTGGGGACCTGGCCCGCAACCCAGGCATGTGCCCTGACTGGGAATCAAACCAGTGACCCTTTGGTTTACAGGCCATGCTCAGTCCACTGAGTCACACCAGCCAGGGCAGCTGTGGTTTTTTTACCTTCAAATTCTGTTCATTTTTTTTTTTAGCTCAGTTGGGACACCAGAAAGGAGCTCTTACCTTTTATGACAGCATGGAAGGACCAGGAGATTATTATGCTAAATGAAATAAGCCAGTCAGTAAAAAACAAATACTAAATGATCTTACTTATATGTGCAATCTAATGAACAAAATAAATTGACAAACAAAACAGAGGCATGGATACATGAAACAGACTGACAGCTGTGAAAGGAAACGGGGAGAGGAAGACTGGATGAAAGGGGAAAGGATTAGCCAAAAAACATATATACATAACCCACAGACAACAGTGTGGTGATGACCAGAGGGAAGGGGGCGAGGGCTGGGTGGAAGGGGAAAAATGGGGACTATTGTAATAGTGTAGGCAATAAAAACAAAGTTTTGCCCTGGCTGGTGTGGCTCAGTGGATTGAGTGCCAGCCTGTGAACCAAAGAGTTGCCAATTTGATTCCCAGTCAGGTCACATGCCTGGGTTGCAGGCCAGGTCCCCAGTAGAGGGTGCGTGATTCCTTCCCCTCTCTCTAAAAATAAGTAAGTAAAAATCTTTTTTAAAAGGGCAAATAAGCCCTGGCTGGCATAGCTCAGTGGATTGAGTGCAGGCTGCGAACCAAAACATCACAGGTTCGATTCCCAGCCAGGTCACATGCCTAGGTTGCAGGCCACGGCCCCCAGCAACCGCGCATTGATGTTTTTCTCTCTTTCTCCCTCCCTTCCCTCTCTAAAAATAAATACATAAATCTTTTTAAAAAGAGTCAAATGGCTTCAAAAAAGGGGGCAAATAATAAATGCTTTTAAAAATAAAATAAAGTTTAAAAAAAGAAAGATGAGATTTTACTTGTTTTCTAGTAAAGGGTATATGCTGCACAGTAACCCAAAGGCCACAAGATGGCGACCGGCGCACTGAAATCCCTCAACACCTGCCAAGTACGGAGGCCCCTTTCAGGCTAAACTGAAAGAACAACTAACTTGCAAGCATATTTTGTGTTGTTGTTGTTGTTTTTAGCCAATCTAATTTAGAAAAAAATTAAAATTACTAAAAATTTCAGAGCAATTCAAAACTAAGTACAACTCATGTAGACACCTTAATTTCTACCAAGAGAAAGTAGATCATGCCGTAGAGAACACAGGTAGCAAACGGAACACGCACACAGTGTATTTGAGTGACCACGAGAAAGGATCCAGAGTCGCACGGGCACACACGACACAATGCAAAGCACACTAATGTGAACTGTTTTCTAAATAAACCAGTGATAAAGACACCACCCTTGAAGACTGCCCATTGAAGAAATACCTGAGCAAAAACTAAGAACTTGGTAATAAATGCCTGAAGTAAAACTGGAATATATCAGCATGGACTAATCCACACCTGACCCACCTTAGGAAGTTCCACGCCAGACATGCGGCAGAGCTGGTACTGGGTAAAAGTCCGCCGTTCTTTGAAGAAGAGGGGCAATACACTAAATCACTAGAACCTATCAGGTATGTTCCGTAGTTTGCTTCTTCTCATCCTCTAAAAGTCCTATATTGGAAAATAAAGCCTCTAAATCTTATTATTAAAAAAACTTTATTGGTAGATAACAGATTTTGAATTAAGACTGATGTCCAAAATTACTTGAACAAGTAACTAAACTAAAAACAGAAGGAGCACTTTTTAAAAGTTCGATCTCAGCAGCATTCAAAGAAAGGCAATTAATGAATGTCATTTTCACCTATGGAAATAGCAAAGATGTTTTTAAAAGAATAGGATAACATTTGGTGAAGTTCAAGAAAACTGCTGCTAAGTGAATGTGTTCTGGAGGTTTATGTGAAATATGTACTGAAAGCCTTCGATGATACTATTCTGACCTAGACAGCACTTCTCTACAGTTTTCCTAAGGAAATAATTTACGGGTTAAATGTTTTAGCCACTTAGGATATTTACTGCAACATTGCTTAAAAGAGCAAGGGAAGTTCTAGAAAAAGCTTCAGTGCACAGCAACAAATGGATGAATGGGTAAGTTACAATCTACACACTAGGATGCAGTAGGTCTCTTACCTGAATTTCACTCAACACATTCACGCAACTCCCCAGAGCCCGTCCCTTCATCCCGTGTCAGACAGCACAGGGACCCCAGCGGCCAGTAGGTAGACAGGCAAATGCTGAGCTAAAGGGCCAGGTGGGGCTCAGGATGGTGGCAAGTACTGCGTGGGGAGACAGGACTGATGCCAGCAGGCTCCCAGCGCGCTGCACAGGCCAGATTTCAGGAGTCACCTCACACGCCTCCACAGCAGCTGTCTGTGCCTATGACTGACTGCTGCAAATGCTTGTTCACGGTAGCTGTGACTCCCACAAATACACTTATCTGATTTCCTTTAAAAGCATGCCAGCTAACTCGCAGAGCCATATGTGACCACCAATGTGGAACCCACACTAAAGACTGGAAACACCTTTCAGAGACACTCTTCTACGCAGCCTGGCCTTTGTCTCTTCTGACCTTGATGGACTTCCTGTCCCATCAAGGAAGAAACTCTCTTGGCTGCAAACTCATGGGAATACCTCCCTTTGGGTGACATTGTGACACTGGGTGTGGCCTCCCTTGCTATATCCTAGAAAGTTATACACTGTACTGGTCAAGAGTATCCTGGCCCCACACAGCCCTGTTCCGAATCCCAGCACCACCCACTAGTGGTGGGACCTTGGAAGGTACCTTAACCTCTCTGTGCTTCAGTATCCCGAATGACCTGACCCTATGAGAGGGCCACACGAGCTCCCTTATAGTGTCGATGGAAGAAATAAATGAGCTAATACATGTCAAGTGCTTCGGATAGTGCCTACAGGGCACATGGCACGTGCTCCAAAAGCATAAGCTGCTGTCATTACTATTGTCCTTCTTCCTTAATGATATATCCTGTTCAACCTCCAGCACAGGGCGCTAAAAGCTGTCTAATGAGAAAATGAACACAGGGCCCTGTGTTTCCTCACTGGCTCAACTCTGAACACCTCCGCTTATGACTTGAGGTCTAAAGCTTCCCACAAACCTTTTGTAATGCCACATCCTTCATCAAATCCCTTCACCCCAACCTTTCGTCTGCCTCTGCTAACAATAAAAGATGGGAAGCAGAGGGAGGCAAACCACAAAGGAATCAGGTGGGGATGAGGGGATTTAGATGACGCACGGGAACTGCAGCGAAGGTCAGCCATAAAGAATGTCCTTCAAATGCCTTGGCAAGAAGCCATGTATACACTCGTAGTCCACGACATGTTTAAGAGAAGAATTGTTTTCAATGGTGTGAAAAGGCACTTGTTCTAATGCCTTCAGTAGACAGGAAGCGACACAGCGGGTTCACAATTTAAATTGTTTCGAAAGTGTTTATTATTTAATAATTCTCTCTCTGTGCCCCACCCCGCCACTCTCTCACTCTGCATTTGTAATCACCCTAAAAAGTGGAATACATTCTTTTCTCTGTGGAGGATGAGCATAAACACTAAAACCAATACACGTGATGAGGCCTTCATTAGGCTCTATGTCACTGAGAAAGGGTGGTCTTCACCAAGCGTGGGTTTCCCTACGGCTCCACAAGGTAGTCATTTCTCAAGGTCACCGGTGCACTCATGGAGTTAAAATGCCGCTGCCCATCTAAATACAACATGGACTCTGAAACACAAGAGAGAGAACCGAGGAGGAACTTACAGTGCCTCAGAAAAGCATGCTACAGACACAGGCCTACTCGGGAACATTGGGATGGTGATGAGAACGCAACACTGGTGCCCGGCGAGCACTGCTGGGCCAGGGCTGTGCAAGGTTCCCGAGGGAGCGGGTCTCGACTCCTGCCCCTCTCCTCTGGACCAGTCTGAGCGCCACTGGCTGCTTGCAGCTGGCGCCAGCCCTTCAGACAACAGGTGGGCCAGCAGAGCCGCCACAGCTGCTTGCGGGCCACGAAGCATCCTGGCCTTCAGGGCTGCAGAGCCTCAAAAGACAATCCCCTAAGGAGATGCTTTTGAGCTAAAATGCGTCAGCATGCTTCCTGCAACAATCTTAAAAGGGGGAAATTTCTTTAAAAGTCCTTCCCTTTGTTAGGGACAAGCAATCACGCTGCTTACCTCCGTATGTTCTGGGGAAAACCAGGGGCACTTCTTTCTCCGACATGAACGTGAAATGAAAGACATTGGTGGTTGTATGCTCTTTATTTTGCAGGTTGGCCACTTCACTGTGGACTCTGACTTGAATGTAATTGCCTTGAGTATAGCAAACCTAAGAGATTATGGGTGTGACGGCCAGTCAGTCAGTCACATTGGGAAGAGGGAACGGGGCAGTGGTAAGAGGAGCAGGAGCATTATAATACAAAAGTTTCTCTTCTGGGCCCAAATGATAAAAAATTGTATTTTATCTTGTCGCACACCTACCTGGGAAGAAAGGAACAGCAAGGATCCGACCTCAACAGGTTTCTGAAACATGATATCATCCACTGCTACTACAAATGGTCGGGAACCACTATTGGGAGAGGCAGAATTCGGGGTCAATGCAAAATTCTAAGGATCTCTATTTTTTCCCTAACAACTGGCTGAAGCTCAACTTCAATCAAAGAATAAAGTAAGCATTGAAATAACGTGAGTCATAACCTTTTGCTGGTGGAGGGTCTTGCCTTTGATTTATAAAAACCACAACATCTGTGAAGTACAATAAAACAAGGTACGCCTGTAATGTACTAGCTTACTTAGTAAGAGTAACATTCTTCTACAATAAGGATTAAACTTAGCTGGTACTAGTGTCATATTTAAAAAAAAAGTTTCCCGACACATCCAGACTGGTCCAGAATGTCTCATTTCAGCAGGCTCCTTCTGGAGCACACACATACTTTTTCTTTCGCGGGTGTGTTAAAAAAAAAGTTGCATTTCAACAGCATTAAAAATTGCTTCTCAGAAGTTAAGACTACCTTAAATCTGACTCACCCAAAGTTACAAGCAGTAGCCCATCCAAGTTCATATGCTTTCCTCATAAGGAAACCACCAAAGATCCGATTGAAAATGTTCCTCTCCTATAGGGCATAAAAATGAATGTTAAGAAATACAAGAGCCCTGGCTGGTGTACCTCAGTGGATTGAGCACAGGCTGCGAACCAAAGGGTCACGGGTTCAAATCCCAGTCAGGGCACATGGCTGGGTTGCGGGCCATATCCCCAGTATGGGGTGTGCTAGAGGCAACCACACACTGATGTTTCACTCCCTCTCTTTCTCCTTCCCTTCCCCTCTCCCTAAAAATAAATAAATAAAATCTTTTTTTTAAAGAAACACATGCTCACGGTCACCCATCTACATAGAACAAAGGAATTAACAATGCAAAGAAGAGAGGCCAGTTTAAAGCAATTAAATTGCAGATGACTACCGAGATGCAAGTTATCCTATTTAGAAGAATCTCCACTAAACCACAATACCTGAGGGTGGCAAATTTCCAAGCTCTTCAGTTTTGAATTCTCCATCCACACTGCATTACGGGGCAAGACTCGACTTCGAAAACTTATAGTCCTGTACAAACACACACTCAGTAAACCTTGTTAAGGCCATAGTTTTGCTGCTGAAAAGTAAACTATTTGCAAACAATTCTGAAAATGCTCAGGCAAGCCTGGTTTTAGAGGAGGCCAAGGTTTCCACACTTTCCCAATGTGGAATCTCACCAGCCTAACTTACTTTGGATCCAGCGTGTTAAGAAACATCTCGTGTATGGTCATCCTCTCTTCAGCACTGGGAGCCATTTTCAGTAATGACGCGGAGCTAAAGGCCACCCTTCTCCCCTTATTCACTGAAACATGGGGCAATAAGAAGCGATGGTCAGGCGGGTCCCACTGCACACTGGGGTTCCCGACCTGGGCTGCCTGGGATCCTACAAAGACAGTATTTCCAGGCTGCAAACATCCCACTGGAAACTGTACCTATACCTCCCCAAAACTTTCAGTGATTCATTGCCTTCACATGGAAACTATCACCTCAGTGTAAAAGCGCTTGTCATCACCTTGACCTAGAGCCCCAACTAGCAGTGATTTCATCAAGATACATTTCCCATCTCATTAAAAATGACAAAAAATTACTTCAACTAATAAATACTGGCTGATCGATAAAACCGTTCCAAGTATGGACTTCATGGAACAAAAAAAATAAGTTATTTTTAATTTCAAGAAATTCATCGGCATGAGTAAGACACTTGATTGGTATGAGGAGCCCACAGATACTCTTAAATAATATCCTCTGCAGTAAAGTGCTTTTAAAAGTTTATATTATAAATAAATTAATATACATTCTCCTTGTCTAAAGAGCTCTTCTTCCTTGGGGCCTTCAGCGATGAGTGGATTTACAAATGCCGACCTGAAGAGAAGACAAAGAATATAGTTTAAAATGTTATATCCAACCCTGGCTGGTGTGGCTCCGTGGACTGAATGTCAGCCTGTGAACCAAAGGGTCACCAGTTTGATACCCAGTCAGGGCACATGCCCGGGTTGCAGGCCAGGTCCCCAGTGGGGGGCACATGTGAGGCAACCACACACTGATGTTTCTCTTCCTCTCTTTCTCCCTCCCTTCCCCCTCTCTAAAAATAAATAAAATCTTTAAAAATAAATAAATAAAATGTTATATCCAATAAGAATGAAAGATGAACAATTACCTACTACTTTTAAATTCTTTGCTGGTCAATTTGAGTAATGCTTACTGGCTGCTTCACACAAAAACTCTGGAACCACTAGGGGAGGCTTCTGGTTACAGACTTATCTTTACAGTAGAAAGGTCACATTATAAACAGGACAGGGCTGCTACCAAAATGTTTCACCTTGACTCTAATTATGTGGAAACAGTCAAAATAGGTTGTAGAACATTCTGCAACACAATTGGAACAGACTCTTCAAAAATTGGCAATGTCTTAAAAGATAGAAAATGGCAAGGAGACTATTTTAAAGAAACAGGGTAACCAACTGCAACACACAATCCTTGATCAGATACTGCCTTAGGGGAAGAAGCTATAAAGGATATTTTAGGGACATCTAGCAAAGTTTGAAAATGGATCATATATTAGATAACACAATGATATCGCTGTTAAATTTCTTGGGTCTCATAAAAGCATTGAGGTTATGTAGGAGAATTACCTTACTCTCTAGGGGATACATGCTGAACTATCTCTGGGTGAAATAGTCTCCAATGATTCAGGGTGGAAATGTGTATACGTGTGTATTTATACACAGTGCAGGAAGGGTGGTAAAATGTTAACTGGTGAATTTAAGTGAAGGACATATGGGTGTTAATTGCATTATTCCATTTTTCTGTAGGTGTCAAACGTTTTAGAATAAAAAACTGAGCAAAAAGGAAGAGAGGATTTCACTGTGGTGGTCCAAAAGTTTGATGCAACAACAAAGGAAAACACAAGAACTGAAATGGCAGCTTGGAAAACTGAAATACATCAGCTGAGCCAGGAGCTTTAATGCCCCCTAATGCTGGCAAAGGAGCCCCCAGCCAGGCACCAGGAGCAGCAAGCAGGTCGGCTGGGCTGATGGAAGGACTTAGACTAGATGGGTGTATTCTTCACTCATGTCAGTCACCAAGTTATTTTTTTTTCAACCTTGACAGAATTTTCCATGTCAGCTTTCCACACAGCAGAAATGACTTCTCATCGCAGACTCCTAACTCCAGGTTTTTAACACAAAGGTGACTTCTCACTGGCCTCTAGACTCTACCCTGTACAAACAGGAATCCTCTAACACTCCCCCACCCCACTCCCACACACACAGTCAGGTCAGTTTTTTCCCATTTGAAGGCCTTACGTGTAACTATTGTTTGGAACCAAGAATTCAATTTAAGAGAAAAAAATGAAGTATGAAGCCAAATATTAGTTAAAGCCTGTACAATTAAACCTGACTTGAAAATGACAGTATAAATTCATGAGGTTGTTTGCTTTATAACACATATCCAAGCTCTATCCACTGAAAAGGCCTAGACACAATGAAAAACTAGTAACAACACACAGTTCGAGAGCCCAGAGTTAGACTCTAAATACCAGTTCCCACTTATAGGAACCCCAGGACTCCTGGGAGAAATGGCTGATTCTAGGCCTGGGGCAGGAAATGGGTAAGATAAGCCCAAGATATGACCTTGCACCAGAGAGCAGGCAGCTATTAAAGACTAATGGGGAAATGTCAAAAGAGCTTGTTACATGAGCCAGCTTAAAGGAACTCTCACTGACCAAAGACCATATGGTAAACTACGAGCAGCAAGAGCAACGGCTGCAATTCAGAAAAATGTATTTATAGATTAAAATCCATGAATTCACAATAACACTTTTTCAAAAAAAGATTTTCTTTCTTTATTTTTAGACAGCGGAGAAGGGAAAGAGAAAGAGAGGGAGAGAATCATCAATGTGTGGTTGCCTTTTGCGCAACCCCTACCAGGGACCTGGCCCGCAACCCAGGCATGTGCCCTGACTGGGAATCGAACCTGCGACCCTTTGGTTCCCAGGCCCGTGCTGAATCCACTGAGCCACACCAGCCAGGGCTACAATGATACTTTTTTAAAAAGCAAAAAAAGTAGAAAAACCAAGTCATCACTAGCTAATTAACCATCTCGTTATTTTGTAAATGTGTAAATAAAGGGCAGCAATGAAACATTAGTCTTGACTTCCCTTTACAAACCAAATTGCCCTAGTTCATAAGGGAAACCAAACTCCAGCTAATAAATGTTGAAGGAATGACAGAACTTGAAAATCACTTTACAACTCCCACATGATTAAAGCAATGATCAATAAAGGACATTAAGAGCCCTGGAGAAAGAGTGATAGGGAGCTGTGTGCAGGAGGAGGAGGTATACTCTGGACCCTGCACTGTACTCTGCCCTGTAGATCATTCCTGATCATAAGCAGATAAACTGAACTTTACAGTGGAAAGATCAGTCTGTCAGTACTTGAACACATACATCAACCTTAGCCTCACCATGAGTAAGACAACCTATACCTCCTGATAAGATGCAATATGAGATATGAGATACACCGAGGGGATCACCTATGAAGTATTCTTGCCAAAAAAAAAAAAAAAAGAAAAAGAAAAGACAAGACCATGAGGAAGCAATCAGACAAATCCAGAAAGTTGGACACTGTATAGAAGAACCAATCCGGCCTTTCAACAAGTTGATAAAACAATGAGGGGGCAGTAGGGACACACAGCTGCTCTGGTGTTAAAGAGACTTTACAAACCACACAACTCCGTGATCTGTGATACACTAAAAGCCATAAAACTGAATACTTTCAATGGGTGAATTATATCTCAATAAAGCCATTAACCAACAAAACAGGCTTACAAGACATAAAAATCAAATGTAATATAGGGACCTTTTTCGGTCCCTAACTTGAACAAATCATAAAAGATATTTGGGGAAAACTGTATATGAACTGTTGGAATATACTAAGAATTTATTAGTATTTTAGTTAAGTATCCTACTGGTAATATAGTTATTTCAGAAAATATCCTCATTTTTACAGAGATGCCTACACTAAAGTATGTAGAAGTAAAATGTCATTATATCTGGGATTTGCTTTACTTCTTTTGAAGATTTTACTTATTTATTTTTTAGAAAGAGGAGAAGGGAAGGAGAAAGAGAGGGAGAAAATTTCAGAGTGTGGTTGCCTTTCATGCTTCCCCTACTGGGGACCTTGCCTGCAACCCAGGCATGTGCCCTGACTGGGAATTGGACTGGTGACCCTTTGGTTCACAGGCCCATACTCAATCCACTGAGCTATACCAGCCACGGCAAGGGATTTGCTTTAAAATATTATAAAGAAAATAATATACTTTAAAAACAGAAATATGGCAAAAATGTTAAAACTCTTAAGTCTAGGTGATAATAAGTACATAGACATCCACCTCATACTCTTCTCTGCAGTATTATGTATCTTGGAAATTTTTCAAAATGATTTATTAGGAAAAAAAAGAACAATTACCGTTTATTTTCAGAATCACGAGCCACCATTACAAATGTTGCTTCCAAAACAGGACAAAATTCATTGCCATGTAACTAAAGAACAAAGGAAAGAAAATGCAGATGTAAGAAATGCATTTCCTGGGGAAACCTACAGTTAGAACAGTCATCACACATGCTTTGAAAAAGGCTGCAGTTAGAAAAAGAGAAGCGCATTCATGAACCACCAGCTGCTGAGTTGCCAGGCACAGAACTAGGCTCCGGGTGGGGATGGCAGCATGACCAGGAGCCTGTGGCCCAGCAGGAGAAAGACACCCCAAAATCCCCAACAGTGCACTGCGCAAAATGCTGGGACAGACGCAAACCACAGGCTCTAGAACTACGCATGACTGTGACCCAGGGGCTGGAGTTCCAGAGGGACCTTCTGCATCATTTCACTGACCTGCCTCATGCAGAACTCTGGCTTCCTTCAGGCCTACCTGTCCTACGAAGGGCACACAGAGCCAGGTGGACCTCCTGCTGCGCTCACAGATTCTAGTATTTTCAGGGAACCTTAGTGTGCCAACTACCAGCACATGCTTAGGATTCCTTAGCCAAGCCCAGGTCCTAGGCTCCCAAGAAGGAGAAAGATCAGTGATAATCCTGTGGATTAAGCCAAATATTCATAATGCACAAGCCTTTGAGGTTTTAAGGTGTTTCTTTATCCCTTAGAAATGTGTGTTTCCAGGACAATCACATCATAAAATCCTATCATAACCTAATGCTCAGTTCCTTCCTCATCACCAGTATGCAATCACTAATGCCTGGTCAGGCCCTAGTACCTTTCCCTTCAACTTTCTTCTGGCATCTGCTCTAAGCCTGTTGGCCCAGTACAAAAAGCCCTCCACCACAGAGCTCAGATTCCTCTCCAGCTGTTCACAAACACTCCCTCACAGCTGCACCTTTCCCCCCCAGTGAGGCTGACAACTTGGAAGTCCTAGAACGGACCATTCTGTCAAACACCTTGGACCGTGCTATCAAACACCTCCTCTGCCTTGCCTAATACCTCCCAAGCGGCTGCTTTCCGCACAAACTCCTCCTGGCCCAGAGAGCAATACCCATCCCTGCGCCCCAGGCACAGTTCATCATTCCTTCCTTTGTCTGCCAGCTAAACGGAAAAAAAGTCCTCTCCTGATACTGGTTCTCACCTGCCCATCCCTGTAGGGGGGCATTTGGAAACATGTAGAGCTGGTCTGTGTTGCCACATGGCTTGGGAGACATTACTAGTGGAACAGGGGTAAGCAAGGAGCTGAATACTTCACAATGCAGGGAACAGTCCTGCAGAACAAAGAATTTTCCCACATACAATGCCAATCGTGTCCCTGTTGAGAAACACTGCATAATACTTCACATACTAAATCATGACCATTTCTTTACGTGGCTGCCGCCCTGCTGTACCATGAGTTCCTTGAGGACAAAGACCATTTTCACTCACACTTGTGCCCCAAGCGCTTAGCATAAAGACTGGCAGATAGCAGATACCTGGCCAATGACTGCCGACGAGCGAACTGAGGCAGGTCACTATTGAGAACTGCCAGAATATAAACTCCAATAGAATGGAACTATGTTTTGCGCATGCCTGCACATCTAGCACAGGACAGGCATGTAATAAATGACTGCTAAGCGACTGTTAAATGCGTCGATGTTGGGAGGTGGGCTAGGTGACTCATACCCACGTCCTGAGGTTGAGGAGCACATGGTCTAGAGGAAGAGAAAACATGCTGCTCCGCAGCTCTGAGGAGCAGGGTACTGAAGAAGGCATCGTGGGCGGGAACAGGTACAGGGAGCTGGGAGGCCCGGGGAAGGGTTCAAGTATGGAGTGACCTGGAAGCACAAGTGGAATGTGGCTGCGCAGAGCCAGAACACAGGGATTTTAGGCAGAGGAAAAAGCCTAGGTGATGATGCTCGGCCACTTGCTTGCTGTTAAATTATAATGAACACCTACTAGCACCAAGCACTGGGAATGCAAAGACGAACAAGTCCCTACTCTCAGGATGTTCCAAGTGTCCAGCAGTGGGCTCTAAGAAAGTACCTGAATGATGTTGGAAGGAATCTAGACAGAAAGGTAGGTTGGAGCTAGTTTACAGAGCACCCTCGATCCTAACTAAGAGCACCCTTGATCTTAGTCAAAGGAGTTTAGACTTTAGTGCACAGATAATGGTCAATGAAGGTGTTTTTTTAAAAAACATTTTATTTATTTTCTTTTTAGAGAGAGGAAAAGGGAGGGAGAAAGAGGGAGAGAAACATCAATGTGTCATTGCCTCTCATGCGCCCCCAATTGGGGACCTGGCCCACAACCCAGGCATGTGCCCCAACAGGGAATCGAACCAGCAACTCCCTGTTTCGAAGGCTGGCACTCAATTCACTGCACCATACCAGTCAGGGCAGTTTTAGAGGAATGATGTGATGTAAAATCAGCTTTGGGAGATGTGATAAAAAATGTGTAAAATTAACAGAGAGCAAGAACAGGCTAGAGGCAGGCAGACTAATTAAAAGACAGCTCGGGTATTCACACAAGAGGCAGTGAGGGCTTGACTAGAACACAAGAGCCAAGGGGAAGAGGAAGAAAGGACCCTGGTGAGCTGCTGAGGGGGATGAATCTGCAGGACTTGGCAAAAGGCTGCACAGGAAAGGGAAAAACTTAAGCTACCACAAAGGTTTAGAACTGGGAAACCAGGAGGCTGGCAAAGGGGAAAAACTGGAGAAAGATCAGGATTAGAAAGGAAGCTGACACGCTCAATTTGAAACACATTGGACTGGAGGGAGTCAGAGCCCATGTCGGTGGAGATAGGACAGGTATTCAGAGAGGGAGGTCTGAAGGTCCAGCCCGGAATAGAGATCTGGGACCATCTCCACAGTGATGATAATAAATTAACATTAATGTTAATACTGTGTGACAGGCAATGTATCAAATTCTTCAGAGAGGTAGGCTGTTTTCCATTTCACCTATACCACACCATACAAGGTGGTGCTACCACTATTTCCACAGTGCCCTGAAGAAAACAGAGGCCCAGAGAAGGTACATGATTTACCCACAGTCACACAGCTAATAAGCAGCAGAACTGGGATTTGAACCTACGTGCACTCAAACCAGAGGCAGGGCACCTATCACCAAGCTCCCTTTCTGGAATAGAAAGGATCACTCAGGTAATGAATTACTGGGCAAAAGAGCAAGGGAGACATGCAAATTTAAAACAAAAGTGTGTACTTGCCTGACATACCGATTTTCACTGGCTCTCTCCTCCCAATAATTCCTGTATTTCTTTGTCAACGTACTTGTCCAAGATTCAAAATCTCAAGATTCCCTAGAGAGCTGGCCCTGCACCTGCAGTCCACTGCACATGGCACTGAGCAGGCTAGGAATCAGCCATGAAGATGAAAAAAGTATGTGGACAACTCACAGCAGCATCCCCAACAACTTAGGGTATGTTTGTTTTAAAAACAGTATTACTGCCCTGGCTAGCGTAGCTCAGTGGATTGAGCACGGGCTGCGAAGCAAAGCAACGCAGGTTCGATTCCCAGTCAGGGCACATGCCTGGGTTGCAGGCCATGACCCCCAGCAACCGCACATTGATGTCTCTCTCTCTCTCTCTCTGTCTTCCTCCCTTCCATCTCTAAAAATAAATAAATAAAAATCTTAAAAAAAATTTAAAAAACCAGTATTACTGTCATTTACAACTACATGGGAGTTACAGGATCCAAATGCTTAGACACAGCATCATATAAAAAACACTTCAACTATTTTCACCAATAATTTAATTACTGCAGAGCAAGCTTCAGACATTTCCAAAAGGTGAAGTGCTTCATAATTCCATAACAGAAAAAATATATCTGAAAAACAGGTCTACTGAATACCTGGGCACAAGTTAGTCATTCTTAAGTTTTCACAATGAAATCTTGGACATACGCTGAATTATTTGATTTCTGTGCTATCATCCTCTTTGAGGTAGTTTTTCTTGTCAAATTGCTTATTTCTTTATAAAAGCTATCCTGTGTTTTGCTCGCTAGAGAGACTGTTTCTAACTGCTGTACAGTCTAAGTGACGATTCTGGGTTGAACTGTGTCCCCCAAAAAGGTATGTCTGAGTCCTAACCCTTTGGGATCTACAAACACGACTTTATTTGGAAGTAGAGTTGTGGCAGATACAATCAGTAAGAATGAGGTCATACTGGAGTAAGGTGGGCTCTAATCCAATATTAATGATGTTATTATAAAGAGAGAAGAGAGCCCTGGCTGGTGTGGTTCAGTGGGTTGAGCACTGGCCTGTGAACTGAAAGGTTGCCAGTTCGATTCTCAATCAGGACACATGCCTGGGTTGCAGGCCAGGTCCCCAGTTGCAGGTGTGTAAAATGCAACTCATTGATGTTTCTCTCCCTCTCTTCCCCCTTCTCTAAAAATGAATAAATAAAGTCTTTAAAAAATAAAAATAAAGCAAAACAAGAAGAGACACGGAGACACAGACACACAAGGAGATAAGCCATGTAACAATGGAGGCAGAAACTGCAGTGTTATAGCTACAAGCTAAGAAATGCCAAGGATTGGCAGCAAACTATCAAAAGCAGGGGAAAAAGCAGGGAATGATTCTCCCTTATAGGTTTTAGAGGAAGCATGGTCCTTCTGAGACCTTGATCTTGGACATCTAGCCTCAAAACTGTGAGACAATTAATTTCTGGTATTTTATGCCACCAGTTCATGGTGCTTTGTTACAGCAGCCCTAGGAAACTCGCACAGTGAGCAATCCCATTCATGCCTAACACAACTCAGACTTTTGTGAAATTCTCCAGACAAACACAGAAACAAGTACTCTAACGTGGAGCTGAGATGATGTGAAAGCAATACGCACCAAGTAACATGTCAATCTTTGTCTAGGAGGAGGATGTTCATAACCCACCAATTTTGTGACCCGAACTTCCAATCGTTTCTCTGGAGCTGGTAAGCTGTGTGTCTAAGGACACGTCAATAAATAAGTTTTTCTTTCACTAAGAAATGTAGTGGAATTGACCAGCATTGGAACAAGCGGGCAATCTGTGGGCGCTTACACACCTGGAACATTTGCATCTTCACTTCCATAGATGTCTTCCCAACCCAGCTAACGTGGCCACTGAACTTGATGTCCTGTTCTGGGCTTAGGCACTTCTTATGCATATCTGCAAAAGAGAAAATCAATCTGCGTTCAAACTGCACCCAGAATTTTCTGTGCTGTAAGTGGAATTTAAAATGCTGGTAAATTCCACTACATTTCTTTTTTTGGCTCCCGCACATAATGACTTTTTGAATATACCAAAGACAGCTGTGTGTCTTTCTGAAAAATACATAGGCAATGCAAAGAATATAAAAAATAAAACTGGAACCATGCTAAATTCTTTCCATCCGAATGATAATATTTTGGTATATAGCATTCTAGACATTTCCACATGCATATGTACATAAAAATTCCCCCATAAAAAGAAAATATTTTCTCTAATTTCAGTAATATCTTGTAATTAAAGTGGCAGTTACAGAATAGTCATGGGAATGTAAAGTACAGCAGAGGGAATAGAGTCAGTAACATTCTAATAACTATGTATGGTGCCAGGTAGGTACTGGAAATATCAGGGAGAACACTTAGTAAGTTATATAATGTCTGATCACTGGGGTGTACACCTGAAACTAATAAAATATTGTATGTCAACTGTAACTGAAAAATACAAAATGATTTTTTAAAATAATAACATCTTACAATTATTAAGAATTCTAAGTATGCATAGAAAATAATTATTGGTTACCAATCTTGTCCACCAGAGCTGTAACTATTGATAAAGGAGACATCTTAGTCGAATGCATTTTGGTGTGCATGTAGCAAATAAGAACTGTAGGAAAAGAGAAGAGAACAAATAAAGGCAAAGCAAAATTATTTCTCAACATTTACAATTCACTCCCTGAAATCTATAAAAAGTTTTATCTTGCTTGCCCTGGCTGGTGTGGCTCAGGAGATTGAGCACTGGCCTGTGAACCAAAGGACAGTCAGCTCAATTCCCAGTCAGGGCACACTGGGCCAGCCTGGGTTGCGGGCCAGGTTCCCAGTTAGGGGCATGTGAGAGGCAACTGATGGATGTATCTCTCGCACAGTGATGTTTCTCTCCCCTTCCTTCTCCCTCCCTTCCTCTCTTTCTAAAAGTAAATAAATAAAATCTTTTTTAAAAAGTCTTACCTTGTTTCGAAGACCCAATCCCCCATGTTCCACTGGTGGTCATACCCTAGGACCCAAGACTTTATACACTGAAAAGTTTTAGGGATCCTCTAATCTAACTGCCCAATCAGTTTTAGATTTGGTGAGGAAACTGAAGCCCAAAGCCCAGGCCCACCAGGTGGCTTGTCACCACTCCACAGAGACACAGTGCCAGAATCAGGAAAAGACCCCAGCGCATGACTCTGACAGCATCAGACATTTTCAGAAAAGAAAAACAATTACAAAAACTCAGCTACCTATTTTCCTCCTGACTCTTCCCTAATCATGAAGCAATTATTTCACTCAGAGTTATGCAGCCTTCCCCACAACACCCTCGGCTCCTACACCACCCTGTGCTTATCTGCGTATCTTTCATATTTTAACAAGTATTTGTCTGTGCCAAACATGGTTCTATGTACCTCACAATCATCAATTCATTGAAAGTTGTATTATGCTTCTGTATTTAGTGGCCTCCCTGCTTCCTCCATGATTCATTCAAATGTGTATCAACCCTCAGGACTAGGTCTGTGAACAATAAGTATTTGCTGAGTGACAATAAATCCTTCCATCCATGCACCTGCTAAAAGATGTACTGGGGGAATGAGAGGCTAATGGAAAGAAACTCCATTTAAAAGCATTTATGACCTTGGCTGGTTTGGCTTAGTGGATTGAGTGCCAGCCTGTGAACCAAAGGGTCACTGGTTCGATTCCCAGTCAGGGCACATGCCTGGGTTGTGGGCCAGGCCCCCAGTAAGGGGAGTGTGAGAGGCAACCACACACTGATGTTTCTCTCCCTCTCTTTCTCCCTCCCTTCCCCTCTATCCAAAAATAAATAAATAAATAAATGTGTCTTTTAAAAAAAAAGCATTTATGGTACCCAGAAAAGAAACTAGATGCATCTGACCCATGGCAATAGTAGTGGAAATGAAGAGAACAGGAAAGATCCAAGAGCTAAGGAGCAGGGAGACGTGATAAGGCTTGACTAAACCCAGGTTTCCAGCTGGCATGAATGAAGATGATGTACCATTCACTGAAAAAGAGAATACAGGAAGAGGAGAAGGGGCTGTTTCAACAGGTTGAATTTAAGAACCCTATAGCCCATCAGACGTCTAGCACAGAGGAGGACAAGTTGGTCTGGAACTCAGAAAAGCAGGCCAGGTAAAGTACCTTCCTAAGTATGCCCCATACTGATAGCAACTAAAGCACGGGAAGTAAATGAGATTATTTCTAGAGAATGCGCAGGTAACCAAAAAAAAAGGGAGGGGGCAGAAGACAAAACCCCGGGAATAAGCGACATTTAAGGAATCAACAGAGAAACAGGAGCCTACGTGGGAGACTAGGAATCAATAACCAGAGAGGCAGAAAGAAAGGCAGCAAAGCCCCAGGAGAAGTCTGAGTACATCAGGCGCCACAGAGGGTCTGAGTAAGCCCCAAAAAGTGCCCAGAAGATCATGCAATGAGGCAGCCAATGGAGTGCTTGGCCAGAGCAGTTCAGTGGCATGAGGAGCAGAAGCCAGAACATGGCAGGCTGAGAAATAACAGGAGGTCAGGGTACGGAGCAATGAGAGGAAATGATTTTTTTTTCCGAATTCTTTCCAGAGAGAATTAGAAAGGGAATTCTTTCTCCCTCACTTAGCTCTGAAGTGAGGGAGAAAGACAGCTGGAGAGTGTTATTGGGAAGGGAATTTCACATAGTTTTCATTTTAAAAGAGATTTAAATATGTGATAAGGCAAGTTCCTTAAAGAAACGGAAGGAACAGAAGCAAGTAAACAGGTGAAAGGCATTGGCCATCAACAGAATGTAATGAAGGAAAAACAGAGTATTGGCAGGCGAGTTTGTATATTTAGGGACACTTGAGTAAACCAAAGTCAAATATATGTGTTTAACTTTTAAAAGGTTAATAGGAAATTTTAACCACGTTTATTTACTCTGAAGAAAAACAAGTAGCTAGGTATGAGCCTCACAGTTGAGTTCTATCTGTATTTTTAAAGTTAATTAGAGCCTTTCTTTATTTAAACCCTTTCCCAGCAGTTCATTCTATAAGTAATTAGGCAGGAGCAAGCAAGGTGGCCCAGAGTAGGGTGCTGAAACCCAAGTGGGGTCAGAAGGACATGCAGAGAGGCAAGGAGAGCAACAGCTCAGCATGTTGCACCCTGAGCACAATGAGGAAGGTGACCACGTGACCTGCGGAAGGGGACCTGGCATGGAGTAGAACCCCAGTGAGGTGAAGGGAGTCTCAATGAGGGGCTCGGGGTGGGCAGGGAGGTGAAATTGGCTACATCCAGGGGAAGCGGCCAAATACATAAATGTATTAAGGATGATGGAGTCAGCTGGAGAAGGGAATTAACAAATACGAAAGGGGAAGAAATAAGAAGGAAGCTGTGGTGCTGAATTGGAGTTATCAGTGAACTCATGGTTTCCATAGAGAAACAGATAGATAAACACAGAGGTAAATCTGTGAGTGCATATAATCCCCAGCTCATTCAATGGAGGGGCAAGGGAGCAGTCACAGCCGAGCAGCAATGACCACTTCTAGCTCCCAGATCTTGGTTTCTAAATGTCATTCGCCATTAAAAAGAACAAGGGCTCTTTAGAGATTTGGCTGATTCCAGGACAAGGGCAGGGAAAGCACAAGTAAACCTAGAACATCTTGCCATGTCAGAAAGATAGGAAGTGCTCAAAGAATGATGGGAACACATCCCAAAAATAAATAAATAAATAAAAGCGCTGGCTGGTCTAGCTCAATGGATTGACTGCAGGCTGCAAACCAGAGGGTTGCCAGCTCAATTCCCAGTCAGGGCACATGCCTGGCTTGCGGGCCAGGTCCCCAGTGGGGGATGCATGAGAGGCAACCACACACTGATGTTTCGCTCCCTCTCTCCCTCCCGCCCCTTCTCTCTAAAAATAAATAAATAAAAATCTTTTTTAAAAATTTAAAAAACCACGGCCCTGACTGGTGTGGCTCAGTAGGTTTGGTGCTGTCCTGTAAACTAAAAGGTCACCAGTTTGAGTCCCAGTCAGGGCATATGGCTGGGTTGCATGCCAGGTTCCCAGTTGGAGGTGTGTGAGAGGCAACCGATCAATATTTCTCTTGCACATCAATGTTTCCCTCTCTCTCCTTCTCCTTCCCTTCCCCTCTCTAAAAATAAATAAATAAAATCTTTCTTAAATTTTATTTTAATCATTGTTCAAGTACAGTTTTCTCCCTTTTACTCCCAATCCAGCCCACCCACCCAAGTAAATAAAATCTTAAAAAAAAAACACACACAAGTGTCCCAGGTTCGATTCCCAGCCAGGGTGCATGCCTGGGTTGCAGGCCATAACCCCCAGCAACCGCACATTGATGTTTCTCTCTCTCTCTATCTCTCTCCCTTCCCTCTCTAAAAATAAATAAATAAAATCTTAAAAAAAAAGTGTATGTTAAATTTAAAACACACACACACACACACACACAGACACACACACACACACACACAAAAGCCAGCCTGAAGGGACTAGGACAGTCTGGTACAATCTGAGCATCAAAACAGATGAAGTAACGTATTATAACCCACTCAATAAATAGGAACCCATGAGTCCATATTGATTTTAAAGTAATAAGTTGAAAGTCTGAGGAATGGGATATTTACAAGGTCTCGAAGGGCCTCCCCACAAGGTACTTATTAGTTACGAAGGGGAAAAGAATAACTTTACAGTGAAGAGGTCTGGCAGACACTGCCTTCAACAAGGAATCAAGGTTAACATCGTGGTAATGGAACAAATTAGAATTATGCACCACTTGGTAAGATGTATCCTTTCTGTGACATTCCTACCAAAGATGCATGTCTTGAATCTAATCTTGGGGAAGCATCAAACAAACCGAAATTGGGAGAAAGTCCACAAAAGAAGTGGCCTATAATCTTCAAAAGTGGCAAGGTCATGAAAGTCAAGGAAAGACTCAGAAACTATTCCTGACACGACAGCTAAATGCAACATGTGATTCAGAGCTGGATCCTTCTGCTATAAAGGCCCACAGGTGCGAGTTGAATGGGGTCTGAGGATTAGACAGTGTAATGTACCAGTGTTAATTTCCTGACTTTGACCATTAAATGTGGTTATGTAGGAGAAGGTCCTTGCTTGTAGGAAATACACAGGAAAATATTTGAGGGTGATGTGCATGTCAGCAACATACTCTCACATGATTTAGGGAAGAACAATTCTTTGTACTTATTTGCAACTTTTGAGACTTTTCAAAAAGTTATTGGAAAGGAGGATTAATCAGATTATAACTGTTAAATAGAAATCAAAATTTTCAGGATAAAATTATGACAATTCAGAGGTAGTAACCCTTCTTTTTCTGTTCTTTTAGACTATCCTCATCTGTGCAAGTTAAAGAATTTAAAAATCCCTTTGTAGCCATAGGATTCAATGTACAGCTCTGAGTATCTATTTAAAAATACTAAAATAATACCAGTACCTCCTAAGCTGTCAAGATCCTCAAGAATCCTGCCAAATCTGTGAAATAAAGAAAACTGGATTAAATGACAATCATGATGATAGCCCTGTAAAAATAACGCACTTTAGGGTCATAAAAATGTTCTAAAATTAACTGTGGTGATATTTGCACAACTCTTTGAATATACTAAAAACTACAGAACTGCACACTTAAATAGGTGAATGATATAGTGTGTGAATTATACCTCAAAGCTGCAATAGAGAAAGGAAAATAAATGAAAACAAATAAATAACACAAATAAAAGTAGTACTATGTTACCTTATGGCATTTTGAACAGTCAGATATTTCTCTCGTAATTCAGGCTGACTGCCCAAAGGCAAGAGAACTTCAACATAACTGTCTTTCATTCTCCGAGGCGGCAGTTCTTCCTGTGACTTAGCCAAAAAACTCTGGAGTAATTTTCTTTCCTCCATTGCTTTCATGTGGTCTCTGAGAAGAAAGGATGAAAGCTTCATGAAACACAGGAGCAGGGCTACCCCACAGTTTCGGTGACACAGAGGCCAGACAGGCACCATCAGAGGAGGAAAAGAGGAGGTCTGGACCTAACTCGTTTCCTCTTCCTTCCCCCACTTCATACCTGCTACTTGGTACAATTAAAATTTTCTGTTAAAATTCTTTAGGTTAGTAGATAAGAAAAACATACCCAAATGAACCATATATTCATCCTCATCAAAAAGTGTATTCAAAGAATAGAATATTTGAAATCAAATTAAAAATACGGAGATGGACACAATAGTATATACACATATGTGAGTTAAATAGCAACACGGCCACTGAGTTACGTATTCCCATGTCTCACCTTGCCAGTTCTCATCCTCTCTGTGCCCCAAAGCACGCTAGCGCATGCGCTCTCTCCCCTCCACCTGTCCCTCTCCCTCCCTCGCTCTCCTGCTCTCTCTCTGCCTTCAATTTCAGGAAAGAGAGACAGAGGAGGAAAAATGGAGTATATCCAAAAGAAAGCAGAGCAAAAGGCAAACAGGAAAAGGACAAGAGGAGACAGAAAAGGAAGAAAAAGAAGAGACAACTGAGGTAGAAGAGGAGAGACAAGGGAACAGGAAACTAAAATGTTGACAATGTCATTAAATAAGATGTCTTTTTAAGTTTCAATTAGGAAGTATTCATTAAAGGTTTAGCCTGCAAAAAAATACATCGGATAGAGGAACAAGTTAAACGGCACCAGGTAAATCCAGAATGTGGACCATTCCACAAGACAAATGGCTTGGCCCCTTTAAAGTAAGGCTCATAGGGATTTAAAAAAGAGAGTTAGGGAGAACTGTCTGTTATTCTAGATTCAGGGGATTGAAGAGTTATAACCACTAAATGCAATATGCAATCCTTTACTGGATCTTCATGTGTTTTTTAAAAGCTATAAAAGACATTTGAGGAGCAGTTGAGAAATTACAAATATAAATCAGTAATATACCATTAGGGAACTGCTGTCAATTTCATTATATAACAGACTGTCTTGCTTGTTGGAGATACGTGACTACTGATTTTGTTACATAGGAGAATATATTCTTTATTGGAGAGGTATGCTGAAGAGTCATGATACCTATAATTGACTTAGAAATAGTTCGCCCAATATATGTGTATTAGCAAATCTGGGAAAATGTTAGTAAGTAACTAATCCAAATGGAGGGAACATAGGTATTCTTTTTTCCCTATGTTTCAATAAATTGAAATGTTTCTATGAGGGTTAAAAAGTCATTACAAAATTTTTATACCAAAAATAGATTACTATATGTCTAGTGATCACTTGTACTTTTAAAATTTTTTTATTGATTGATTTTAGAGAGAGGAAAGGAGGGAGAGAGAAAGAGAGGGAGAAATGGGGGAGGGAAGAGAAGGAGAAAGCAAGAGAGAAAGATCGATTTGTTGTTCCACATATTTATGCATTCACTGGTTGATTTTTTTATATGCTCTGACCAGGGGTTGAACCCACAACCTTGGCATATGGGGACAATGCTCTAACCAACTGAGCTATCCAGCCAGGACTGATCGCTTGTACTTTTTGTTTTTATCTCATTTTAGCCTCAAAATTCTGTGCACTAAAAGGAGTATTATCCTATTTTACAGCAGAATAATGCTGAAAGAGAAAGACCGTATGGGAACCTCGTTAACTGTGAATTAACAAGAAGCAATGAAGAGTCAGGCTGCATGAATCAGGAGAAGAAAAAAAAAACGAAACTTGGGTTCAAGTCCCAAACCCTGATGGTTAATCATTTGATCTCTCTGAGTTTCCATGTCAAAAAAGGGGGATAGGAATGTGTGCCAGAAGCCTGTACCAATTTTGTTGAGAACCAGTGAGGTAATATAGCCGGATGCACTTTGAAAAAAGTACAGTTCACATAAATCACATTATCTCATGCCAATAATGCAAAACCTGACGAGTATGTCGGAATGTTGATCTCCTCCTTGGAGTAAAAATACCTCTCAACCCACCTGCGTACACAGGCCCCCCCATCCCTAGAATGAGACCATCCACTGAGCCCAGATGCAGCCTCGCACACCACTTTAGGGATGAAGGAATGAATACACAGAAGCGCGTACCTCCAGTTTGTGGATGCTCCTACTATCTCCCGCAACTTATCTCGAACTGAAACAAAAATAAAGAGGTCATCCCTTGAAACAAAGAAATACGAGAACAGAATTATGGCAACTCAAGAACTATGAAAAGCGATTCATGTGCTCGAAAGCTTTCAAGATCCACGAATTTCCATTTAATGCCACAAAAATGGCTGAGAGAAGAGATCAGGCCTCTGCTTCCTGAAAACTTGAAACAACAATTGTCTCCTTAGTGCAGAAAAGAATACCCTCATGCCAATCACTAGGGTTTACAGAAACAAAAAAGGATAACTCAGTGTCAGCAGGAGACCCTTTATGATGGAGATACAAGGAACAGAATCCCCACCTACCTTCTTATAGGAAGTAGGTCAAATGACTTAGTTCAGGCACTAACAATAATATCCAAATCTGAGTATCATTCTAATTGATTTCTTTTGTTTCTTTTTGTATAATCTCTTTTTCTTTTTTTAAATTTCTGTTCAATTACCATTGTCCCCATTATCCCTCCATTACTCTCCCCTTCCCTACCCACTCTCACCTCCCACATTCAATCCTATGCCTCTCCCTCCAGTTCCATCCATGCCGTCATGAAGGGTAGGAGCCCCTTCCCATATATGAATATTTATACCATTGTAGTTGTTAGAAAAGCTTAAGCCAGAAAAATGAAGCAAAGACATAAATCAAGGAGAGGCAAAGAATGTGATTCAATTTCAGTTAATGCCCACTGCTCAAAAATGGAAGAAAGAATTAGTACAAAAAAAAATTAAGCATTTAGTTGATACTAATTACCACACACACACACCATGATTCACGTGTATAGGTGAACATGCTATATGGATAAAGAAAACATAAATTAGATAAGCAGTAGTAATTCAAAACTAAAACGTAAGTCTACAGTATTTCAAATAATGCATTTAGTTCATTTTTTTCCCAGCACTTAAAAATATACACTCCAGTTACAAGAAATTAATGGTCCTTTAATAACTAATTGATTAAAACCAAATATCGTTAGATTAACATGCACTTCAACTTTCATAAAAAACATTGATTTTTCTATCAAACAATTGTCATATACCATAAATTTCGTGCAAACTCTAATTACAAATAAATCATGGAGAACTAGAAAAATAACCATTCATAAATAGTCTTATTTCTGATTTTTTTTCCTCCTGAGTTCCTTGAATAAAAAAATAAACAGAAAATAGGCCCAACAGGATATAGACTATTGGGGCTGGATAACGTGAAATGATTGTTACTAGTTCAGTCAGTGTAAAAAGCAGTGTTGCTTTTTGCCAGTGTTGAGGGCCAAGAAGGAAAGTAGATTTTAAATTATATGTATACATATATATTTATGTGGACTTTTTAAAGAAGCCACAATTTTAATTACAATGAATACTCCTAAACTGATAAACATCCATAGCTTGCATGTCAGATTAGCAGTAGTAACTGAAATGAATTTCAATTAAACATGGATTAAACAGGGTCCCTCTAGCAAAACTGCACTGGGAGCATTCAGCTGGTACAGCTGAAGCATCCGTCTCTTACTTATGCACTAGATTTCTTTTTTCTGTGCCTTCCCCTTCAGAACCTACACACGGGAAATGGAAATCAATTAACTAAAAGGGCTCAGCCCCCAAGGTTCCCAGGAACCAAAGCTCAAATGCTGAATGTGAATTCAGAATTCTACCCACAGCTATCCTGGTCATTTTATAAATGAGAAGTGCATGAAACATCTACCTTTAGTATGCCTCATTTGCCCTAAAGCAGGGGTATCAAACTCATTTTCACCGGGGGACCACATCAGCCTCCCAGTTGCCTTCAAAGGGCCAGATGTAATTTCGACTTCTTAACAGTTAAGGAGTAGTTGTATTTATACAATCCTAAAATTATTTTGGCCCTTTGAAGGCAACCGCAAGGCTGATGTGGCTGCCGGTGAAAATGAGTTTGACACCCCTGCTAAAGTATCTATACACACATCCCAAATAAAACCGGGTTTTTCACCACATGAGCCTGAAAAGTAAACACCCATGCTTGCCTTCATGAATGTGGAAGACTCTCTGATTTTCAGGATTCTGGGACCCTTGAGTGAGTCCTCTGCCAGGAGTAAGCAGGCCCTTGCTCAAGGTGCAAAGCCTACAAAACAAGAAAAAGCACTTAGCGTCATTTTCATGGCTTCTTTCCTGGCAACCACAAAGACCTGCGCCTCCTCCCAAAGCACTTGGCTGTCCTACATCCTTAGCACATAGTCATGCACCAAATAACAACATCTTGGTCAACAACGAACCATGCGGTGACATCCACTGACATCTGGGATGACGGTGACATCCCATATAGCCTAAGAGCATAGTAGGCTATACCATCTGGGTTTGTATAAGTTCACTCTATGATGTTCACACAACATAATCGCCTAACAATGTATTTCTCAAAACTATCCCTGTGCATTACCGTACTGTACATTAACTCGTAGCAGTCTGCACTTGTTTCTCAAGTGTATGCATAGTTGCATATGAGGCTACTCCATAAATTATCTCTCTAGCTAGAGTAAATATTTATTTTATTTTATTTTTGCAGTTACAATTTACATTCAATATTATTTTGTATTAGTTTCAGGTGTACAGCATAGCGGTTAGACGATCACATACTTTGCACGGTGTTCCTCTTGATATTTCCAGTACCCACCTGGCAGTATACATGGGTATTGCATTGCTGACTATATTTCCTATGCTGTACTTCCTTCCCCGTGATTATTCTGTAACTGCCAATTTGTACTTCCCAGTCCCTTCACTCTTATCACCAAATCCCCCAAAGCTCCTCCCCTCTGATAACCATCAGTCTCAGAGCAAACATTTCTTTAGAGCAAAGACTAATTAGGTAACTATCCATAAAATAAATAAAAGATATCAACCAGGTTTAATGAATTTACTTTTACTCTTTCTACTTCATTAGCTTCAGAAGCCCAGAATCAATCTGGTAATGAGTAAATTCATTATGAACATTCATTTTGTTCATTATCACACAATATTTCCTCAGTAGATAAGATAAACCCAAGTACAGGTTAATCAACTTTGAAAACAAAATTAACCCTTTCCAGACTCAAATAGAGTACTTATTGGACTTAGGTAGAAATTTCCTAATCCCCAACAAATAAAATAAAAGCTATTTCTCCAAATGCGCCTACCCTATTCTCCCAAAATAAGTTACTTAAGCTGGCTTTGATTCACTATTGCTTTAAGTGCTGGCTCCTAATCACACACTATGATATCATGGATAACACACACATAATATTAGGCACTGACAAACTGATCTGTTGAGAGCACAGCTGAAGAAGGCAAGGCATTGAAGACATCACGAACTCTAAATACTGTTACTCATTCTAGCTCAAGTTACTAGCCAATTCTTACTACCTAATGCCAGGACAAATGATGACTACCCTGCCCCAAACAAAAAGTATCTAGTCATACCTCTGTACTCGTGGGCTTCAGAACTCCTCAAACCCTGAACTCTTCGCATTGACAAGAAAAAAATGTTTCAGCACTTGGCACTTGCTCAGGACTCGTCATTCTTGCTAGAACTTGTATGAGTCACAATGCCATCCCGCAAGAGAAAATGCAACGTTGTTCGGTACTTGTTGGTTTTGGCACTCATAGTTCCGGAATGAATTCATGAGTACTGAGGTACCACTGTATTTTTTATTGTCTGTAGAGCCCAACTTCACTTTAGATTTCTCTTCTGAATTATATACAGTGTTCAAGAAAAGTCTCTCAGTAAAAATATTTGGTGAGACCTACACATAGTCTCCACATTTGTGCTGCTAGAACAAAGCCTTGTCCTTTCACCGAATCAACTAATCTCACTGAAAGAATGCATAAATATGACCACATGCTCATGGTCACTTTAGCTCCTTAGCCATCCAGTCGTCACACTAGCTGGGACACAATCCCTACTGGTCCGCTAAGCGGTCTGATTCGCTAAGATCAGACCGCTTGTTGGAGTGTTTGGGGTTTTGGTTCTGTGTTTATTCTTTAATCACATAGCTAATAAGCCTCTCTAAAAAATTTTGGATTTATCTTTTCACAATAAACTTTCCACTTCTCCTAACTCTTGACCTTCTAATTTGCATTTTCTCAGAACAGGATCTGAATTTTTTTCTCACTATTTCATTTTATGTATTTTCTGTAGGTTCAAATCCTTTCCTGAGGAAAACAACCCTTTATTCAGCCTTCTGAGAAACTAGCATTCTGCAACTGAATGTATCAGGTTTTAAAAAGCGCACTGGGAAAAGCTAATATTTTTCATTGCTACTGTTAGCTGAGAGAGGAAAAGAAATCATGCCCTAAATATATCAGCAATTATAACAGATGCAATAGATGTTCCCAATATAAGAAATGAGATGTGATTCTGAGTAGCTAAATATTTTGAACACTCATAACAAACTAACAGGAGGTATATAACCATCTCACATATTTGGGTAAATACACATATACACAAGCATTTTTGTTTTGTTACCCTAAGCAGCAGCATTTTCTGAAGAGTGATGAAAACCATCCCATCCTGCCTGAAAGGCAGTATAGTACAGAGGTTAAGAGCATGAACATGCTGTTTGTTAGCTGGGTGACTTGGGCAAGTTAACCTCGCAGAGCTTCAGTTTCCTCATCTGTAAAATAGGGACAATAATAATACCTATCCCACAGGATAGCTCTAAGGATAAAGAAATTAACACATGTTAAACCTGATACTCTGATAAATCCTCAAAAAAATTAGGTATTATTATTCCAGAAAGTCATCCTTCTCCAAAGTCTCCCCTAAAAGTCAAAAAGGACCAGAAATTTAGAAAGCACAAGCTAGGCGCCATGACGGGCCATCTCTGAATGGCGAATCAGCTGGAGATAGTAAAAGGAGTTGATGAATATAAAAAAACACTTGGGCCAAATTTGCGAAAACCGTGGCCCTGCAGCCCTGCTCTTTGCATACTGTCCTGATAAATTTGGAAATATATCCCTGTAACACAACAAAGGCATAAGTTGAACACTTATTAAAAACTGTTGACTACACTAATCATGGTACAACAAGTTCCTATTATCCTGTGAACATTCAGCTTATGATAACTTTCTACTACAATTTGGCATCCTGTCTACCGATAATCTGATGAAAAACTGGTATATAAAAATGATATATACTATTTCAGAAGGTTTATAGACCACCTCCTTTTGACACCCCCATAGGCCCCTATATTAAGAAATTCTGACTCAGACCAACCTACTGAAGAACCTGAGGCCCCTCACCCCTGCACAAATTAGATGACTTTTCCCAGTGCCAGTCAAGTAGATAGAGCCCAGTTCTTCTGATCCCTCTCTCTCCCTCCCCCTCCCCCCTCTCTCTCTCTCTCTCTCTCACACACACACACACACACACACACACACGCAATTGCTCTTCACAATCTCAGCTACTTCCCTCTACATATGTAGCAGTGAGGTGGAGGGAGAGGAAGAATCACTTATCACTACCCTTTATAGCTGAACCTTTCCAATGAAAGGAGACCAAGGAGCCCAACCTCTCCATTGCTTGCTTAGGGAGTCACAGAAGTCACCTGAAGGTGTGAACAGAAGTGTCTTGGCTCTGTTCTGGGTCCCAAGCTTAGGGAGGGAGTCTGGGAAGACTGTTCAGTACAATAACAGGCAATGCCATTCATGCCCTCCACTCTGAGGGAACACCTCTATTTACAGACTAAACAAATTCAGGTGGCTCTTTTGTGAGTAGAAAAGAAAGCTAGGAAGATTGCCCACCAGTCAAATAACCTAATCATCTCAGATACTCTGAACTCATTGACACTAAAGGAGTGCCTGCTTAAGGTTCAGTAGAACTCACAAGAATGGGCATTCAGTGCAGAGAAGACTTCCAAATTGGGGGAGAAGAGATCAGAAAGGTTTCCTGGGAGAAAGAACGTGAGCAAGACTGTGGAACTTATAGAGGGCCTTTCACATCGTGTCCAATGCAAGCTAAAGCCTTCTGTGGTCCTTTTAACCCAACTTTCAAACTGTTTTCAAACAGTGTAATGAAGGGTTGTTTTTTTTTTTATTTTGTTAAGCGCCATAAACAAGACACACACACACACACAGAGAACCTTTCTCAACTGATAGCAAGGTCCAGAGGAATAATGAGAGAGAACCGGGACCCCCAAGAGAATTGATGGAAATCAGTGTCAGAACCACTATGGGCCACACCAGAGAGGCCCGCGCACCTGTAGCTGGACGATTCCAGAACCTAGAACGGGGAGACCCCTGGGACGAAGCCATGAAAAAAGAACTTAAATAGATGCCAGGGAAGGGGTTTGGAAGAGAGCCAGACGTGCCCTGGAGTGATGGAATGATGACAAAAACAAAATAGTATCCTCCTCGTCCAAGTGACCCAATCAAAGGCTCCCCTCCCCTTGCTTTGCTGCTCTTTAAAGCTCAAGTTCCAATCAGCATCAGGGGGTCCTGGTCATACAGTTCTGAGAGCCCATTTAGGTACCTTACAATCTCTGCCCACGTTACAACACACTTAAGTCTGAGTCCAAATAGGCCAAGCACTTAGCCCTAAAGGAGCGCAAAGTACTGGAAAATTCAGGTGGTACTCCAAATACCAGCATTCTAAAAGGGGCTACCCCCAAACCACACCCCTAATGGCCAAACGGAAAGGAATTTCAGGGAACACCCAACTTCCTCCCGTAAAGCGCCGCTTCGCTTTTAATATCACACTCAGTGCCAGCACACACTAACGTGGGTAGGGCGGTGCTCCCCCCGTGGACTGCAGGCCCGTGAAGCGCGCTCGCGGGAGGAGGGAGCCCTTTCCCACCCAGCCTCACTTTCTGCCCAAATGTCCACGCATTCGTCCCGCCAGCCGCCAGCCCGGACCTCCCGCCTGGCCCGCTAACCCAGCGGAACACAGGCGTAGACGCCCCCCAGCTACTTACCGAAGCACCGCACGCCTCATCGCGCTCTGCCTCCACGCACGCGGCCAGAGACCCCCGCTCCGCAGGCCCGTCGGCAGAGAGAAGTAGAGGCAAAGGAGAGTGCGACAGCGCGTGCGACTGCCTGCACGACAGCGGAACCAGAGTTCGCTTTCCACGACCGCACCCCGACAGCCAAGCCTCCCGGGGTGGGCCCCTCCGCCCGCTTGGTTTGGGGGCGGGTCTTCGCTCTTCGGAGGCGGGGCCCCGCTCCGCCTGCAACTCCGCTCATTGGCGGGAAACTGGAGTCTGTTCCGTAGAGCTTCCGACGCAATCAGCTGGTGGGGAGCGCGTTACAAACTAGGGGGCCGGCTTAACCCCGCCATTGTTGATTAAACGCACCACTGAGCGTGGCGAGGGCGTGACGTGAGAGTCAAGTGCAGCCAGATCCTTAGAGCTCGTCTTGGTTATTCGTCTTCGCTGCAGGCCCCGTGACTTTGCCGCGCCTCGGCTCCAGGTCCATGATTCTTGCCTTTAACTGTACGTTGGCATCTTCTGGGCAATTTTCCAAACTACTGATGCCTGAGCCCCACCCTCTGGAGACGCTGATTTAGTCAGTCAGGGGCGTAGCAGGGGTCACAGCTGATGCTAAAGTACCAAAGGTTGAGAACCACTGACCTAAAGGGAAAGAAAAAATGTTCCCTCTTCTAATCTCGGCCTGCCCCCTAGTGTTGAGAAGTTGGAGATCTAGTCCAGCGCAGAAAAATTCAAGGCCACAGAGTTCAAGATGATTTTACCCTAGCTAGCAGCTTATTCTCCACTTCATTCAACAAATAATTTTTTAAAGGTTTTATTTATTCATTTCTAGAGAGAGGGGAGGGGAGGAGGAAAAGAGGGAGAGAAACATCCATCAGTTGCCTCTCGCACACCCCTAACCAGGGTTCTGGCCTGTGACATAGGCATGTGCTCTGACTGGGAATCGAACCAGCAACCTTTCGGTTCAACAAGCCTGGCGCTTACCCCATGAGCCACACTAGCCAGAGTTCAACGCATTCTTTTTTTTTATTTTTATTCTTTAGATTTTATTTATTTATTTTTAGAGAGAGGATAAGGGAAGGAGAAAGAGGGAACCACACCAGCCAGGGCCAACAAATTCTTATTGAGCTTTTTCCAGTGTGCCAGACATTGTAGATGCTGGGGACATAACAAAGTAGATAAAAATTCCAGCCTTTAGGAGGCTTACCTTACAGGAAAGGAAAAGAAGTGAGCAAGCAAGTGAGCAAATAATATTTCAAACATGGTAAAGTGGTCTGAAGAGGAAATAAAGTAATGAGAGGGCATCTTTGGAGAAGATGCTAATTTCCTAGGAGACAGTGTCCATATTGTGTGCTTCTTCTGATATCCCATGCTTGCCAAAAATTTGCCAATTTTAATCAAATAATGCATCCAGCTGGGATGGAGTTTCGGAGGAGTCTTGGTGAAGAGTCTGGATAGTGGCTTGGAAAGCCAGAGAAAGGAAGTGACATTTGCAAGAGTTCTTCCCTTAAAGAACGAGACTAAATAAATTATCCAAATTGAATTTTCCAGTTTCATAACTAAATCATTTACAAAAAAGCTAAGAAAGTTATCCAAAACTTAACGGGGAACATGTTTATTTGCCCTTCTGTCTCACACTGTCATATATACCTGGCTAACTTAAGTATGTTGTTTTAATTAAAGGAACCTGTGGAAGCTGGCCAAGTACCACTGCATCAATGGCCCTGTTGAGCATTTCCTGGAAGGAGACTTTCCTGAAGGACCTGGCAGTGTCACCATCACTACTAAGCCAGATAAAACTTGTACTGAAGGCACGTAGGGCTGTGCGTCCTCAGCGGAAGTGAGTTGAATAAGCAAGACATCCCTTTGTGCTGCATTCTCAGATGACTCAGTTCCATTTCCTGGGGGAAGTCATATGCCTCTCAGAATAGTTCTGAGCTCAGCCCCAGCTCGCTGACGGAGAGTCACCACGTGGCTAACATGAACTCTGTCCCCGGGTAGACAGATCTCCAGTCCATCTCCTCCTTGTGTCCTGTTTGTTCAAGTCAAGACACACATATCATGTGCCTACTCCGTGAGAGGAAATCTGCTTGATGCTGGAGCCACAGACTGAAAATAGCGGCCCCTGCCGCAGAGGGGCTCGTGTGTGGCTTCCTGACTCATTTCACAGATAAGCAAACCGGGGCTCTGAACTTTCTGGTTTCTTGTTCTGGTCTGTTCATGCTGTAGTACTCCCTTCACTGAGTGCCTGCCTCCCTTCACGGACGCACAGGGCCTAACTGAAGTTCTGCTTCTTCTAAGAGAATTTCCTGACTCCTGTAATCATTATTAACTTTTACTTTCTTTGCACTTCTATTTCACTAAGTCTGTTTCTGACAATTTATCACTGAATTATACTTTGCCTTGTATTATTTCTTTAATTATTTGAAATATTCTACCCTGGCTGGCATAGCTCAGTGGATTGAGCTTGGGCTACAAACCAAAGTGTCGCAGGTTCGATTCCCAGTCAGGCCACATGCCTGGCTTGCAGGCCACAGCCCGCAGCAACCGCACATTGATGTTTCTCTCTCTCTCTCTCTCTCTCTCTCTCTCTCTCCCTTCTATCTCTAAAAATAAATAAACAAAATCTTAAAAAATAATTAAAAAAAGAAATATTCTTGTGGTACTCCAATGAAACTATAAGCTTCTTGAAGACAGGAGTCCTCTTTTAAATTTTAAGTCTGGGTACATAGTTCATTCTTAATATCTAGTTATGATTTCATTGACTGGATGATGGAAACCAGCTTTTGAGTGGGCTACTAATTGGGGCAGAGGAATGGTAGGCAACACTCCCACCTTCAAAGGATAGTTTAGTCCAGGGGTGTCCAACCTGCAGCCCACAGGCAACATGCCACCCAGGATGGCTATGAATGCGGCCCAACACAAAATCGTAAATGTACTTAAAACATTGAGACTTTGTTGTACTGTGATTACGTGTTGCAATGTATTTAATGTGTGGCCCATGATCATTCTTCCAGTGTGGCCCAGAGATGCCAAAAGGTTGGACACCCTGGTTTATTCCTAACCCAGCCTTCAAAAACCAGCTGTACTGGGTTTAAAGAACCTCCCCCAAGAGCATAATATAAAAACCAAAGGGCCTACATTAGAGATCATATTCACGCTCCATCCAAAAACAAACAAGCAGGCAGAGTAGAAACAGACTCATAGATACAGAGAACAGACTGACGGTGCCAGATGGAAGAGGAGACGGGGGAATCTCGAAGGGTTTAAGTTACTGCATGGATAATGGACTGATTAAATTTAGGATGCTATGGAGGATAGCTTTTGAGGTTGACACTTATCACAGATTAACTAAGTTGTTCTCCCATACAATAAATCAGCCTTTTTTCACTTTTTTATGGTTGAATCATATTCTATTTTGTATATGCACCACTTCTTTATCCATCACACATACTCTTTGACCCAGTATTCCAGTCTAAAAGGGTCAGGCCAGTTTCCCAGCCCGCCAGACCACTCAGGACTCCGTCAGGACAGTTTTCCAACCCGCTGGACTGCCCATGACTCAGTTATCCACTGAGCCACACCCACCAGGGCATGAATTGCACGTCTTGGGCCTGACTGTACATCTTTTAGATTGGTTTCATTAACAAAAAAGCACTTTAAAAATAAAAATTAATAAAGTAAATGCTTCTAATTTAATATCCCCTTGTTGTATCCCTTTCACACATATGAATAAGTTTAAACATTCCAAATAGGGAAAACAGGCGCTGTTGGGGTATTCACTGGAGAAGGCTGTGTGGCTCTCTGTCTCCCATACTGGCTCACTGCATTGAAATGCCTTGTTGAATCCATCGTGGTTCAGGTACTGGCCCTAGATACACAGGTCGGACACTTGATTTGTCACTTCAGTAGAGTTGAGTCTATGTCCCCATCAGGCCTCACATCAACCAAAAGACTAATCAACGAAATAAGAATATCAGTTTCTCAACTCATAATGAATGTGGGACTGCTTGGGTCCCATGAGAAACCCAATTATACTCAGAACATTTACTGATGAGTTTGGCATCACTTGCATTCAGCTAAGATACATTTACTAGAAATTAAGTACCACGAAGGCAAAGATTTTTGTCTAATTTTCTATTGCTATAATTACTATGGAGTCTACAACAACACCTGAAACAATAAAAATCTGTCAAATAAAAGGCATAATTAAATAAATATTAAATAAGGAAAGACTGCTGTATCTATCTCCACAATATGCAAACACCCATCTCAAGAGTCAGCTACCAGAGTTCTTGCCTCAATCAGGCAAGTGTGTGATGGTATGTGTGATGGATAAAGAAGTGGTGCATATACAAAATAGAATATGATTCAACCATAAAAAAGTGAAAAAAGGCTGATTTATTGTATGGGAGAACAACTTAGTTAATCTGTGATAAGTGTCAACCTCAAAAGCTATCCTCCATAGCATCCTAAATTTAATCAGTCCATTATCCATCTTGCTCCAGTACAGGGCCAGATTGAGCAGTGCTAATTTTGGCCTCTGAGATTCTTCTTCTACGTTTTTAGGACTTATCCTAGCAGACACCTTTACTTACCTCCCTTATCCATCTCAAAACATAAAGGGAAGCCTTCTGGGGTATTCTCAGAAAGATGTTGCTTCCCAGACAAAAAGATAAAGCTTCATCAGAAGAACAATTTTTGCTACTGACCTCTCCCCCCTGCTTGGGATGCTGATGTGAGGACATAATGCTTGGAGTTATTGCAGCACTCCACGTTCATGAGATGAGTTGAGGATTACTGGCAGAGTGGAAAACAGCCCAGATCGTTGATAGCGTGGCCACGGGCAATTGCTAAACTCATTCTGCAACTGACTGCCTCTGGGCTTCTAACAGAGCTTTTTAAAGTTTCTATGGCTTAAGCTACTGCAAGTAGAGTATTCTGATGGTTGTAGTCAAAAGCATTCCTAACTGATACAATGATCAAGTTCGTTATAAGATGTACCTTCTCTCTTTAGCTATATTAATACAGTCAGTCCATTAACAGTCAAATATTGACTGGTCTAGGATCCAGTTTGAATATCTCTGTGGGATTTTAAGTTCTGCTTTCAGAGGCTATGCTAATTTCACTCATTTCTAATTCCACTGTCCAAATCATGCAACCACCCCAACTGTAACAATACTGAGTACATCAGGTCTCCTTTCCCAGCGCTCCTTTGCCTGATCTGTTACTT